AAAACCTGAAGATGCCTCACATTATCTGTCCGCAGGGGCCATGTCTCGCACCCATACAACAACACAGCCCTTACTGTAGCCTGGTACACACGACCCTTAAGATCCAGTGAGATGCCTTTTTGATGCCAAAGGTGACGCAGATTAGCAAACGTGATTCGAGCCTTTGAGATTCTTGCACTGACTTCATCAGACACGCTTCCGTCAGAGCTAATACAACTACTGAGGTATGTAAAGTTTCCCAGAATCTCCAGTGGTTCTCCTTGAATTGTAAGGAATATGTTCGCAGACGGCACGTTCTGAAGCAGGACTTTGCACTTCGAAGGCGCAAGGCGCATGCCAAATGATGGAATGATCGTGGTCATGGTTACAGGCTTTCGGCAACGAAATGTATGCGTGAAATTCTTTGCCATTTAGCAGGATAGGTTAACTAACTCGCCAGAGGAGCTTCTCATCAGTTCAGTGTGTGGTTTTCCCCAAATCGGTGCTAATCCGTGACCCACACAACAGGTAGATGGGCGAACTTGCTGATCAGGTTTGCACATGTTTCGTCCCCAGTCAAGGTGACATCATTGATTCACACTAGATCAGCGTTGCGCCGCTGTTTAGCCACGTAGTCTTGAGAACGCATCGGACAGCGGTGATGTGCTACGAACTGGTGCCGACGACTGGTGCGTTGACAACCAAATGACGAAACTCACTTAGCCAACAGAAATTCAGCGATTTACACATTTCCGTCAATAACAAAACCCGCCAGCATTCAGGCCACAATTCCGCCCACATCATCATTTTTTGCGCACTGTTTTTCGTGACCCGGTCCTCGCGAACTCGTTGAAAAATTCCTACCAGAACCCAATATGCATTTGTGACCGATGAAACAAATAAAACCTGGGATGATCATCCTAACAAATACTGGAAGTCTGTGCGGCTAGGTTCCCACAACCCAATCACGTGATTGTGTACGTGTCAAGGTCACGTTCTTATCCAGCTTTTGTGTGTGTGTTTTGCTCGTGACCCACTGTCTGGAAAATGGTAGTGTCTGGTTTCGGACAGCAAGTCCAGGGCTCAATACGGATGACAGCCCAGCACACAAACTTCGTTCGGGGGTCATTTCGTCGATTGCTCCTGGCCACAGTTCCATGTTCACCCTTAGCCCGTTGAACAGTCGTCGAACCGAATCGACAGAATTTTGTCACAGTTCGGAATCAAATCAAGGGGGAGCGATTCTAGCAACCGAGCTGACTCTACCGCGCGAAATGCGAATTTGGAACTTACGTAGGCGTAATGTGTTTGGAAAGGAAACGTCTCAAAGCATGAACCTTCTCCATTGAGGTGGTTGGTTTTATAATTTTTATCAGACACCTACCGTTCTTGTTTTGCTTAGAGTAAATTGTTTTGAAGCTCCACCGCACTATGGGCGAGATGGCCCAAGTGGTTAGAGCGCGAGTTTACTGACCGGAAGGTCCGTGGTTCGAATCCGACCTCCACCACTCGACTTCCCCTGTCTAGGCTTGGGCAACCTGGCAGTATCCCAGTCCGCGTGCTTACTTCGGGTGGCATGGCAGCTAGGCACCGGAAGGGTGCTACAGCTGAACGCTTCTTCTTCTTCTTCGAACAAAGTTCAAGGTCAACCACGAGCGTGTGATTTTTCTCCTACTGCGTCGTGCATAGAGAGGGCGTAGCGAATGAGGTAATTACTCTCTCACATTACTTTGGATACGTTCTGCGTGCGGTAAGCCGGACTATCGGATGTGTGAAATCGCTTCTGCGGTACATAGACCATGTGAAGTCGTAACCGTCAAGGTTAAAATATTGGAGGCGTTCAATCTGCGATGGATAGCTCTTGAAGGTGTTTGGAAACCTTCTTGTTGTCTGGACAGAACGCTGGTAATTCGAGTAGAAGGCCACGAATTGCGAATCTTGTGTACCATTTCCACCATTAGTGTATTTGGACCGCATGAAAGGGATATGCGGAAATTGATCTTGACACAGCTCAGTGGTTAAGGGGATTGTGGTCCGAACCCTATCCCGGAATCTTGGCTACTCCTCTTCAGGCTTGGATCACTTTGGGTGGTTCCCTCTCGATTATTACTGGAATCAAATTTGTCCCAAACAGCTCAAGGTTGTCAGCATTCGTAAGCAGAGGTCTGCCTCGTCGCAACCAGAGTCGCAGAATAGTAGTTGCTCATGGGGGGAGATCCAAAGAGAACCAAGCTCTCTACTCTTGCGTCCAGTCTGCATCATAATTGAGAATCCAGGAACCTCCGAAGTGGCTTTGGCATTGTGACCTGCTAATTGTTGCAAGTATTAGTCATCCGGGCAGATAGTGTAAAGTCTGACGAAGGTTAGTCACAACGTTGCTCAAAACTTCGACAGCCCACGACCGGTTTCGCTCTTCTGGGGCTCATCAGGTAGGCGCAGTCCCCGAGTTTCCGTCAACCTCATGTTATGAAAATATGCTGCGATATCTCGAATATCGTGCCAACTGAAACATGAGGCGGCCTGTGTGCAGCACATTCAGTTGAAGAACATCGTAAACGAGAGATTCACTTGAGTCTCCCGTGGAAACCAAATTGATTTGCAAACGAGTTTATCTGACGAAAGCTGTTTTCTGCGAAACCCAACCAGATCACTTTTGTCCTTAGGTGAGTCGCTCGTGAATTGGCCATCTAGAATGAGCCTAGAAGGAATTGCATTCCACTGAACATGTTCCGATTCATAAGGTACTCATCGAAACTCAAAGAGTGAGAAAAAATTTGGAAAGGCGCCCGTGAACTTCTTGCAGAAGTTCAGTCCATGCTTTCATACTATCAGGTAACTACGTAGCCCAGTTCAATCAACCAGCCACGCTCTACACACCCTACTGTCGTGGCTGCGAATATCTCCCTACCATGACCGCATTTGCTCTTTTTCGCAAGTCGTGGTGGGGAAGAAGTCCTTCCCTGCAAGTTTCGCAATGAATTTCTGGTGGAGCCGTTCAGCGAAGAGGGCCAAAGGACGATCACCTGGATGTTTCAACCACGAAAAGTTTACACTCATGAATGTACGCATACCTCGGATCCTAGCTTTTTGGGCAACATACGTAGCGGTCGATGACGTGAAAGTTGCTTTGAGGCATCCGCCTCTGACTTGGGATCCATGACTCCAAACGACTGCTGATTTCTCAACTAACCACATGTAGGCCTCGGAAATTTCGTGCTCA